ATCACTCCAGGTCCTTATTTGCATCAATGAGGCAAACACGAATAAGGACTCTCTTTTATTATTTAATACATCCATTCTGTAAAGCTGTTTTGGCTCACCTTCACACTAATAAACTCACAGGGATTTGTTTACTATTTACCTATTTCATAACAGAAGCTTGAACTGTAATATTTAGTCAAAAGGCCGAAGATTATTTAAATTTGCTCATAGCATCCAGATTTCAACATATAATTATAAATTAGCCTCATGAGGAGTTTTCTATAAATTATCATTTTAATAATTTTACTGGAATAAAGTATGAAAGTGTAGTCAAACAAAATAAACTACATGAAGGTAATTATGTAATTTGTAAATGTAAATGTTTAAAGTTGCAAATTCTTTCACCAACATTTCAATTTCGTAAAAATAAATGTTGGAGTAGAAATGTTTCTTCACATGGATAAACAATGCACTTATAGTAATGGCCAAGACATACAAATATAAACCGCAATTAACTATTGCTTGTAGGATTTGTTATCTTACTAAGAAATGTTTCCGGTTTTATTTGTTATATTTAATACATGAAACCAAATCTGTGTCCTATATATTTGGAAACTACACATACACTCTAGTTTCAATATGTACATTGTTACAAATTCTACCATTTTGACATCTGCAATCCCTTCCAACCCTCCAGCTTTATGAGTGTGGTCACTTATGTTGGTTGCTTGACAGGCCAGACACAATCTTAGTGACTGTTGCACACAAAATATGACTCCCAACTATCAAAACACTCATGTCAGGCAATACTCTTTACATAAGATCCCAGTCACTTCCAGTACACTGAAAATTGACCAAATGAATGACAAAGGGCGATATTAAGAGATGTAATAGAAGAAGAAAACAACTGCCAGAAGACAAGAGTTACAGTATCCACTGTATAGAAGACTGGACTGAAAATTCAGCGAATTGCATTTCTTTACCCGGGATTGTGTTGCGAAGAATTGTTTGAAAGAAACATGATTTCCTTTTTTGGGTAAAGTCTTTGAACAAAGGTGATAAACATATACTAGCTTAATATAAATATACATGTCAATATGCATGTTTATTCACAATAAACTATTCACAGTCTGTTTATAAATCACCAGGTGTTAGCATGTGTATTGTCAATGTTTAACTAAAAATTGAAAAAAATAAAAGCATGAGGAAGATACAATTATTATATCAAATATCCCAAATGTGTGTGTGTGTGTGTGTGTGTGGTGTGTGTGTGTGTGTGTGTGTGTGTGTGTGTGTGTGTGTGTGTGTGTGTGTGTGTGTGTGTGTGTGTGTGTGTGTGTGTGTGTGTGTGTGTGTGTGTGTGTGTGTGTGTGTGTGTGTGTGTGTGTGTGTGTGTGCGTGTGCGTGTGCGTGTGTGTTGAGACAGAGTTACAATGTTCATATATGTGGTACAACTAATGCCTATATGTGTGTGTTTTGCATGTGTGTGTACCATTTAAACAACTGCATATATTTGTGTGGAGTAGTGAGTGGTGCTGAGATACTACAATTGATAAAGAATGGCAGTGTGCAGTCTTTCCATGACTTTATGAAATTTAGATGAATTAACAGGTTTGGGACGAGTCCATTTGCGGACCGATGCTCCAGTAAATCACAGCAAGAAGTCAATTAGCCTTCTCCATCAGCAATAGGAAGGTGAACACCTGCAGTGCTGTCGCAGTCACTCAAACCCAACTGACCAGATAATATATGATAAATAAACACCGATCTGTGGAGTTATTTATTGTACTGTATGCAAGTATAAACCCTCAGGGCAATATGAACCCCCGAAACATGTATGTTTCTCCTATGACGAACCAACAAATACACAGCAACAAAATGTGTCCGATAACAATGCAATAAAGTCAAGCATCACATTGTGAAATTCCAAATTACAAGACAGTAAATTGTCTTTCGTCATGTAAAACTTTAGTATCTACGGCTGCAAATTCCATGTCATTATCACCCGCTACACTTGCATGGATATTCAAAATAACATTTGATTATAGGAGTGTGTTTTAAAATACAATACAATGCATAAAGTACATTTTAGTTGTGTGAACGGTTAAGGATTTCTGAAACAAGTGCATGCATAAAAATGTAATTTTGCCGAAACAAAGGTGAATCTAAATGTATTTTAATCTGAGAATGTATGATATTTACTGGATTGTATGAGGGCACACCAGAGCATGAGTCTAAGGGCTCTGCAGAATATTATAGAACTGGGAAAAAGTGTATGCACCTAATACAGCACAGCGAACACAACCATGCATTGCAGTATTGTATCAAACCATAACCTATAAGAGATGCCAAATTAAACCACAGCAAAACCTGCACAATCATTCAGCCAAATGCTCATTTAAACAAAAATAGTGATATTCATTTAACTGTGTAACATTGCCATTTCTTTCATGTATATACAGCAAACTTATTCATATTCAGTGGTATTGAATACATGGAAGTATACTTTCGGGCTATGCTTTTGCGACTGATGAAGATTTCCCTTTTGTCTGGTCACTACTGAGTTAACTTTAAGTCCATAATCTCTATAGCACAAGCGGCCTGAGCCAGCCATGCATAGGCTTCAGGCCAGACAACATGGACTAAAAAAATAACTACTTAACATTGCTATAAGAAAATTATCCAGACGTTTGGGCTGCCATGGCACATTTCTTTTATATAAGAACATAATGATCATGCATCCAAGTCAAGTCATTTTTCTAATTATGCATTCAAAACACTTTCACACTGCTGACTCAACACATCTAGTTAGAATAAATGTATAATGTGAGTTGTTTACCATTTAGGCTGATGGTTATGTTCTGCTCTTTTCCAACAGCATGGGCATACTGTCAAAGAGGTATGCACAGTGCAATATGGGGATATTTTAAGGTAACGCGCATGCTCAGTTTGAAGAAGCTTATATGTTATAACCAATGGGCTATCCAAATGCCCTATGAGGTAATCCCAGCAGAGATAACTAAATCATCAAATTATAGTCTAAATAGTGCTGCAGAATAACGTGATAATTTAGCACGTTGCATTACACCCACGTGCAAATGATCATTAAATATTTTAGACTGTTTCCAACATTGCAATCTAAGAAAACACCTAAACCACTAAGCATATTCAATTAATCGTTTTACGAAATTGAAACTCACATCTCTAACGGTTTGAACAATAATGTCAGTGGTTGCAAAACTAGAAAATATAACGGTGTAAAATGTAAAATAATTAAAGGTAATAGACATGTCAAAAAAGAGGAGAAAATGTGAAGGGCGGCATGCCCGAGGAGCGGGGGAAATATTCTGGGGGGAAAATGGCTGGTGTGAGTGAGACAAATGCCTACCAAAAGTGCAGCACTATAAAAAGGCCTGTGAAGCACTTTCCCCTGTTTTTAAGTTTCTCCATTTTCTATTGTTCACCAAAAAAAATTATTTATGCGGCAAAGCAGTCTGATTCCTTGGGTTGTTATTTTTTACCAAAAAAAAAGAAAAATATATGACCTATTCGTGTAACCTCGTATTCGGGGTTGACAAAACAATTAGAACATCGATGTTTTAAGCTCAAATCTTGACAATCCACAATTGTAGAATTAATTACATAATAAATACCGTTTTAATAAATACCAGAACACCTGAAGAGATCTACAGTAATTTTAGTTTTAGATTTTTAGACAGGCAACAGTTGCTCTTATAGGTCTATTTGATGACAGCTTCTCTTTTTCCTCAGCATTGCCGATGCTGCTGCTGGCGCTCACAAACATTTGTGACTCATCTAAACCATGTTACGTTATTATTCCATAGTGATAATGTGGCTGCAAATACAGGGCACATGACCTTAAGTGACGTATGGGGCCTACACGTTTCAACAAGCCAATAAAATACGGAGGGAATAGAGGAAAACTTAACAGGCTGCTTGTCACTTGTGAAAGATCACAAAGGTCGCCATAAATCTCATACTGAAAAACTGCAAAGGCAAACTATGTTAACTGTGTGTGTGTGTGTGTGTGTGTGTGTGTGTGTGTGTGTGTGTGTGTGTGTGTGTGTGTGTGTGTGTGTGTGTGTGTGTGTGTGTGTGTGTGTGTGTGTGTGTGTGGTGTGTGTGTGTGTGTGTGTGTGTGTGTGTGTGTGTGTCTCTTTGTAGGCTAAGTGTTGGTGTGTGTGTGTGTGTGTGTGTGTGTGTGTGTGTGTGTGTGTGTGTGTGTGTGTGTGTGTGTGTGTGTGTGTGTGTGTGTGTGTGTGTGTGTGTGTGTGTGTGTGTGTGTGTGTGTGTGTGTGTGTGTGTGTGTGTGTGTGTGTGTGTGTGTGCTAATAGTTTACTGTGTGTGTTTTCGTGCATGCGCATGGTGTGCCGTGAGAGGACGTGTGTGTGTGAGAGTGAAGGGAGGAGTAAACTGTGAGAGGCTATGTATTCGTGGTGAGAGAGAGGAGAGAGGGAGAAAAGAGAGGGAGAAAGAGGCAGGCAAACAGAGGGAGGGGGAGAAAATGGGAGAGAGAGGAGAGAGAGAGAGGAGAGGAGAGAGAGAGAGATGAGAGAGGAGAGGGGAGAGAGAGAGAGAGAGAGAGAGAGGAGAGAGAGAGAGAGAGGAGAGAGAGAGAGGAGAGAGAGAGGAGAGAGAGAGAGAGCAGTTTACGGAGGAAAAAGAGATGAAGTGAGTCTCATTCGTCGTTTTGCTTCAAGACAAATTGTCGTGGTTATGTACAAAAAGCGCAAGTGGTGTAGGCTACTAATGTGCGCGACTTCCATAAAAAAAACAGAGGTATGCAGGTCCTTGCAACATTTAAATTAACATATGAGTAACAGGCCTAAACAACGAGCAGGCTATGTTCACTTCAAGAAAACTAAATCCCATTAAACCTCCACCGGCTAAATATAATACACTGTAGGCTAAACGTTTGCACTTCGCCACCGTGCAGTCCACACAGGCCTGCCTCATGCTGGTACTAACAGACGGACGACGGAAAAGTAAGAAAACTCACCTTTTCAATCTATAACTCTTTCTCGAGGAAATGTTCTGGGGTGAATGCGGTAGGGTGAGGGCGAAAGCAGAATGAAGGACTGATTTGAAGATTTTTTGGTCCAGATCCCTTAAAATAAAGAATGTAAGCTCCTTCCTGGGACAGACTGAGGGGGAAAGGATGTGAATGGCTTGGAGTTTAAAAGCGCCGCTTGAAGCACTCAGCGCGTCTCTGAACTTGATCAGATTGTATGTGTCCTGCAGCGAGTCAGTGGCAGCCCTGTGAAACTTGCTCAATGGCAGGAATTTTTGGCTGAGCTAAAAAATCTCAGGATATTACAATTACTGCCATCTTTCTTTCTGCCTTTTATTCCACCGTCTTACACCCTATAGAGCTTTTGCACACAAAAAATACCCCCCTCCCCTTTCAAGCGGCTTCAAGAAAGCCACAGTTTGGAACTGTGCCAAGTACATTCAAGTTTTCAGTTAATAAGAGCTAAACTGGTCACATGAAGGAGAAGAATAACAGATGAGTCAATGATATATATATATATAGATAGATAGATAGATAGATAGAGATGTTAAATAGCAGGCATTTCAAAATGTATTATAAAGTTTTAAATATGTTCAAAAAACTCAAAAGGCTTAACCAAAAACTTTTTTTTATGCAGTGTTAGTTCGTTGCTGTTACTGTGAAATAATAGAGTGGGCCACTCTACAAATATAGTTGTTAAAAAATTGCTGGGTGGCATAATAACTGATCCAATTATTTGTATATTTATTTATAAAACTGCCTGGTAGTTTCTGAGGAATATAAAACCATGCAAGGCTGCATGAGACATGCTCTGCACATAACACATGCAGGATCTGCGCTAGTGCTCCGCTTTACCTGCAAAATAATGCCTGTAAGAGCCAATCAAATGAAACCAATTGAGACGACCTGCCATCTTCAATACCAAACTGTGCCAATCACCAGAAATCTAGCCAATTAACACCCTCCTTCGCAGTCACGTGTCAGAGGGGTAGCTGAGCGCTCATTGGCTGTCGTAGCACTGCCTCCTGAGTTCATTTATGTTCGGGGAGTGAGTGATTGACTTTATCAGTCCAAGGACATCATCCGGCTGGAAAGGGGGGGAAGTTTGATCCTCTTTCTCACGGATCGCAGTCAACGGGAGTTTTTTTTTCTCCCAACTCTTTACGCAAAGGATTTTTCACCGTTTCTGCCCCGTTGTTTTTTATTTTAGGATTTTCGTAAAACGTGGTAAATCTCGGCGCGGTGTCTGCAGCTTGCGCACTCCGCTGCACTGGATTTTAATTTTGTTTTCTTCACCTCTCCTAAATTAGCTTCAAGCTCATGACTATGCTTCTTGATAGCGGTCCGCAGTTTGCATCGTTAGGAGTCGGGGGTTTCGGTACACCACGGCACCACGACCTCGGGAACAGAGACCCGGGTCTGGGGCTGAATCCCTTCGCCGATCCCCCCCACTCCGCAGCTTTCAAAATCAGCCCCGGCGTGGCACACGATATCGCCTCCAGCCAGACATCAGCGTTCACCCCGCAAGCCACTGGATATGCAGCTGCTCTGGGACACACTCACGGCGGGCAGGTGGGCTCGTACGGCGGGGGAGCTTTCAATTCAACACGGGACTTTCTCTTCCGGAACCGGGGTGTTGGAGAGTCCACGGGGCCGAGCGCACAGCATGGGCTCTTTGCAGCTTCGGCGGGTAGCCTCCACGGTCCGCCCGGGATGAGCGATAACCCCGGACATCTGTTGTTTCCAGGACTTCACGACCAGGGGGTGAGCCACACTTCACCGAGTGGACATGTTGTTAACAGCCAAATGCATCTTGGCTTACGTGGGGACATTTTCGGACGACCTGATCCGTACCGTCCGGTTGCGAGCCCTCGGACGGACCACTACGGGGCTCAGCTCCACAACTACAGCCATCCCATCAACATGAACATGGGGATGAATGTGCCGACACACCACGGTCCCGGGGCCTTCTTTAGATACATGAGACAACCAATTAAACAAGAATTATCCTGCAAATGGATTGACGAGAACCAGATGAACAGACCCAAAAAGACTTGCGAGAGGACGTTCAGCACAATGCACGAGATGGTCACTCATGTGTCCATGGAGCATGTTGGCGGCCCGGAGCAGAGCAACCACATCTGCTTTTGGGAGGACTGCCCGAGAGAAGGGAAATCTTTTAAGGCCAAGTACAAACTCGTCAACCACATCCGTGTGCACACGGGAGAAAAACCATTCCCATGCCCATTCCCCGGATGTGGGAAAATATTCGCCAGATCGGAAAATTTGAAAATCCACAAAAGAACACATACAGGTAGGCACCGGCAAAGCATGCGTAAAATAACACTGTTTTAAAGTGATGCTTGTATGTTTAGAAATGCTGAATCCTGCCTGTTTTAGAGTGCTAACAAATGTGTGCATATTTTGTTGTTTACAATAACCATCTGAGAAGTTGGGCCCACATGTATCCAGCTGAACAGTTTCCAAATTGTTGTAGTGCAGTTCATAATAAACAAAGTGATACATTATTGTTAGCATGATCATTTAAGAAAAATGTGTTGTTGTTGTTATCCAACTCTTTATGTTAACCCTTAATCCCTGTAGTTTTCTGCTAGGAAGTTGGATGAGATATATAAAGATAGATACTTTACGCATGTATTCAAGTTAAAGTGCTCTTTAGAGCTAGACTACCTCTCGTGCCTTCTGAACTTTATATAAAATGATAAGGAATCAGTTTGTAGCTAATTATTGTCCTTGTTCAGCTATCATAGTGCAGAAGATGCCCTGTTGATTCAATGTTTACTATACGAGCAGACGCAAAGAGCAGGCCAGTAGTAGTATGAAGGAGCAGGCCTCTTGAATAAATAAAGCCTGACAGAGCAGAGTGTAGTAGTGTAGCTGTATCCATGTCGACCAGAAAATGTAGGTTACTCTTGTTATATAATACGCTGCAGACCATTTACATCGGGCTGCGGCATTACATGATGTGTTACAATGGGAGTTTGTTTGTTCGGGCCATTGGGGTAACTCATGGTGTGTATTTAATCCTGCAGGTGAGAAGCCGTTTAAGTGTGAATTTGATGGCTGTGACAGACGCTTCGCCAACAGCAGCGACAGGAAAAAGCACATGCATGTGCACACATCAGACAAGCCATACATCTGTAAAGTGTGCGACAAGTCATACACACACCCCAGCTCTCTCAGGAAACACATGAAGGTAATTAACGTCTTCATTACTCCTTAAACACATTAACACACATATACACACACTCTCCACCCCCCACCCCCCTGCAACAGACAGGAACTATCACAACTTCAGGCATTTCTTAAGCTGTTACAGCACTATTTCGGTGCAAAAAAAGAAACAGTTAAGATGTTATAGAGTATATTAGGGATAGGCCTACTTAAAATCACAATTAAACTATTTGAATATATCAGTGAATTATCTGTGAATAAAGCCTGCCACTCTTCTAAACTAGATTTACGGTTTGAAACCTTTTTTGCGTTAATTAAAAAAACAAGCCTGGTTTAAAGCAATGCATGCGTCTAAATGTTTTCTCTTCACATTTAAATATTTGAGTTTAAAAAGAAAAATATGTGTTACGATGCACGTTAATGGAGCATTGATTTGGACATATTTTGCAGTGTAGAAGTTGCCGTGTCTGTTTTAAGTTTTCTGTGTGTTATAGAAGCGATACAAAATCCAGAGTTTTAATCCGCATTTAAATCCAACACCCTGCTAGCCACTTCATGGACTGGGGCATATAATACGTTATTCTTAGTGTTTAATTATTTTATTTTTTTCAGGTACATGAGTCTCAAGCATCCGAATCGTCTCCAGCAGCCAGCTCTGGATACGAGTCGTCCACACCACCAGTGCTGGTCTCAGCCAACACGGAAGACCCGACAAAAACACCGCCATTAGCGGTGCAAAACACGTCTGGTCACAGCGAAGGACTGGCACCCAACTTTAATGAATGGTACGTTTGAAGTCGGAAGAGCAAACCATCTCTCAATGTGGACCGCGGAGTTGAGGATAAAAAAACAACTGACAAACTATTCCTGTTCTCTTCACACACACACTCATGCGCACACACAAACACAGTCACACACACACACACACACACACACACACACACACACACACACACACACACACACACACACACACACGCTGTCAGACACACACAAATGGGATTGGGGCATCAACGACAGGAAATGAGAGCAAAAGCCAGCACCAAGCAGGCCACGTACGTTCTCAGGATCGCAAAATGTGACTTGTATTGCGCAGTTTTGAGGAAATCAAACAAATCATGAATAAATAGAACTCAATACTTTCTCAGTATAAATAAATGTTTTTTTATCTTTTAGTTTACAGAAAAAATGTTTTATTTTTCATTTTATGTATTTTCTCAAATTTTTATTTAAAAAAAAGAATAAAAAGGAAGAATATTTCACACTGTTTTATATGACGGTGACGCGCTATTGTCGCCTCTTCAATTGATTGTTGGAACTTCAGACAGTCTTAAGAAACGTGCCAAAGTCTTTGTCATGAACTTGAACACAGAAAAAAAATCCTAAATAAATATTATACTCGTGAATGTATTTCCTTGTTTGATGGGGTCGAATCTATTGTCAACGTCCGTTTTCAGGTGGAGAAATGTGGTATTAGGTTACGATTGTTACCGTTAAATATAACGTTGCCTTTTGTTAATACCGTTGTAAATACATATCCATGATGCCATATTTATCAATTTGTAATTTAATTATGGGTATGAGTTCTGAAACTTAAATGATATTTATGGAAATGTTTTCTAACAAGAACTGTACAGTTTTGGTCATAACCAGCTTAACATTGAACACATGATAAACTCTAAAGCTCCAACATCGCGATTGTATCCTTCTCCTTTTCTTTTTAACCAATAGGCCTATATGTGTCTTATTTGGATCGAAGAAATCATCTATATGAATATTATGGATTTGTCTATATATATAATGCAGATATTTCCGTCACTTTTATTTTCTTTATGAGACCATTGACATGTAAATCATTGACATAGAACTGAGTTCAGTTGAGCTGAGAAGCTATACAAAGGGTTCTGTTGATATCTTTATTTTTGGTTAAACTTTTTTGTGTATTTTACTTTTCTAGTATCAGAAATAGATGTCAATTCGTAGCATAAACTCAGTATTAAAAAAAGAACAAATCCATCAGCCTATTGCACTCCTATACAGGTCTTAGTCGATTGTGCGAAGTTCATGATTTCAAAATCAAGGAGACAGCATTTTATTTCCAATTCGGGTCAAGCACCCACTTATATGCGCCAGTATGGCACTCTTT